AAGGTCATCTAGCGATCATTTTTATAAATAATTTGGGCATAAATACTAACATATATATAAAAAGTTAGTTAAAAAAAAAATTAGTCTCAACATTAACAGTAGTATAACTATATGTGTATGTATGTAGGAGTAGGTATAAATATATGAAAATAAAATTAGAATGGAAAATTTCTCACTACAAGACAATGACTTTAATTTGTGCTCCATGCGAGGAGGAACAGTTTTTAAAGTGTCAAACAGTTCTTACAAGAACATTAATTTTTGAGAGAATTAAATAGTTCGCACATTTTTTCAACAAAACTATCGCCCTTCAACTAGCCGCTCATCGCTCATTCGGCTACTTTTAAAAACTACTTTCTTTTCAAAAAAAAAATACAATGTCAAGAGTTGATTTGAATTTTGAGAGGAGTTTTTACAATTAGTTTTTTTAAGGATACGGTCACGGTGAGAGGAAATTCCGCTATTTTGCTATAGGCCTTTTCTTTTGCACGCGACCTACAAAAGAACGCCCAGCTGGCTTATTTAAAACAATAGTGTTTAAAAAAAAAACGTTTGTTAAATATTTATGCGAAAAGCAAAACAAGAATCTATGGTAATTAAAAAATATTAAGTTGTAATAATAATAAATTTGAAATATTAAGCATGAAATTTCCCAGCAGCCTCACATTAAGCGAGAATTATGCTGCAACTAGCCATCGTACATATCTTGCGTCCATAGCAACCTATCTTATGAGAACACCATGTTAACACTCAGTTGTCACCGCTTGCCCATGCCGTTACTGACGGTTGTTCCGCAGAAACCAACGACGATTTGATTTTTTCCGATAAACCAGCTCGGCTCATATCTCGTTGCCATACAAGGTTGCCAGTATGGACTTTTTTAACTAGTATTAAATAATCGAAGATAATGCGTAGTTTTTTCAAAAGAAATGAAATCTAAGTGCGTAACTAATTATTTGTTACCATATAGATCATGTATATTTGATCGGCTTTTATATTCGAACATATAAATTATGAAATTTCTTAACGAAAATTATAAATTTGGCAACATTTTGCCGCTCTCAGTCGGTTGTTATGGACGGATGCTAAGTAAAATGGGTAGTTGCAGCATGACTCCTTGGTTATTCCAGTGGCCCAATTACAATAGTACAACTTTTTTCTGTGCAACAGTATTAGTCATGTACTGTTAAAGCGATTTCCACTCAAATCGGTTAAAAATTCACTAACAAAGTGACAATGTTCTTAATACAAAAATAAAGATTCACAATAATGCAGTGGTCAAGTTCTTCTGCTCTGCACTCGGCACTGCTTACGTAATTAAAGCCGAATCAACATCAATTCCTTTGGTTCCTGCTCTTCTCTGTTTGGTGCCAAATGAACTAGGTCGCTTTCCATATGACCCCTTCGCTTCGCTTCTTCGTCAAGCCCGGACAAAAAGGAACTAACGGTCGATCTGCATACGCCTGCAGTTGTATACCAGTGTAAAATCGCAGCTACTATTATTTTCTCCACCATCAAAAAAATAAATTATACAATAAAGAGTCACCAAGTCTGAATCCATGTTTGATATCGTAAAGTTTTGGGAGATCCTTCTTAACTCTGACTACACTTCTGTTGTTGTCCAGCGATAATTTTTGCAGGGTTTGGGGCAGCTCGTTATTGTTCTGTCGAAGACAACTGTAAAACTAGCTTACAAGATTTTCTTAAATTCAATAGTCCCATTGTTATTGCCAATATGGGGATCTCCTCTTTATAGATTGTGCAAACCACACTTAGGTTCCCATCGTTGACCACCATGCTTTCATCACCATCATACACTACAAAGAAGCTAATGCATGTCAGCTGCTTTTTTGCTCGTTAGGCGCACCATAGCTATTAGATCGTTGTCAAAGTTGGGTAAGGGAGGTACAGCTGTTTCTGTAGTACATAAAGAGTTCTAGATGTCGATCCACTATTCCATTATATCGAATTGCTGATGAGTGAAGCAGGTATGCAAGTCGAGTAGAAACCCGTTCAAATGTCTGTTGAGATTGCAGCATTTCGATGTCGAACCATCCTAATTTTTTTGGTTGACGAGCTTTGACGGGTATCCTCTATGTGGCTGCTGTAGCAGATTTCACGAGACCTCATCTTCTACCAATCTTGTATCGTCCATCGTATTTCTCGAGTGGCTTTTAGTCTTACGTGGACATCATCCTCGGCAGCGGCACCTTAAAACGTTTGCAAGGATCGTTATCAAAAGGGAGATTTCTCATTGCTGTATTGTTTTCTGAGCTTGGACCCCAACGCTGCGCATAAGTTAGTGACAACAAATTTTACGAGAAGACATTAACTGTGTCCAGCTCATTATTTCTTGAACTTTTTTTTGCAGATAAACGGAATTCGTCTTAACATAGAGCCGGGTAGTTAGCAGTGCGTTTTAGTTTGTTTTTTGTTTTTCCAGGGTTTGAATCCTGGCCAGACTAACATTAATATTTATAGAAAATTAATTTTAAAATTAAAATTATTATTTGCTCGCGCACTAAAAGTTTGACCCATATCCTCTTTGGAATGCTACGAGCATACCAGGCTTAAACGGGTATGGTAACTTTAATAGACCGCTTTAGAGCATCTCAAGAATATTACATGGCGTAAAATCCAGAGACTGTAAGGAACACTTTAGTAAGGAAATAAAATAAGGTTATAAAATGAAATCTTCTCAGTCTACTGCTCACATTTTGTCCCTTATGCAGTATATTAGTCCTACAGTCCATGCTTACGTTTCTTCATTTTGTATTTGGGATTGAACATTTGTGCTTCAGGACGCCTAAAAATTACAAACGGAAGCCTCACAAAAAGCGTTCAAATATCACAACTAAATAAACCAATTAGCAGGCGGATTTGACTAGTTGTGGACGCCAAGGTATTAGCCAAGGGGTTGAGATGACTACGCTGCTTTGCTATGTAGTTTGGTGTTGTGTCGAATATTTTCATTACGCTTGCACCTTGGTACGCCTGTTAATGCTCCTAAACTTTTAAATTGAAATGTTATATCACACAAACTGTGCCAAGTAAATTTGGTTAATTTATTTTAACACCCGAAATTGGTATTCTGGCGAACTGGTCACAATGTTTGAAAAAACTTTGCATTTTTCGTTCTTGTTAAATTTTATTTGCCAGTTGGTAAAGTAAAAAAGAAGAATATTCACATCGAAATGGCAGACGGTGCGCAACTTAATAAATATATTTTATTTATTTATTTATAAAATCACAAATATTTCAATATTATGGAAAATATGACTGGACAACAAATAAAGCTGAATCAACACGTTATCTTACAAATTAAAGGGCTATTTTTTAGTCTCGAAAATTTCTTAAAATACACTTTTTTCTTCATCTTCAATGAATTAAAGGCCTAAAATATGCCCAACCATTTTGGTTTTTATTTTTTCTCAAACCAACAACACAAAACCGAACAGTAGATTTTTTTCTTAACTCCTATTTCGCTGCTAACAAAATTTACAGTGTGTCAGCGAGCTCAGAATACGAAATAGTCACAATATTTACTGAATGATAAATTTTAATACCAAAGTAAATGTTATTACCAACGGATAAGAGCAATCCGTTGGAGCTGCCAGAGTTGATGTAAGTGCAATTTGCATTCTACTTTTACATTTGCTGATACAAAATTTCGTTGTATGTAGATTCATAAACCAATAACTTCATAACAAAGAAGCCGTTGTAATTGAAGACCAGTTAGACAGGCTGTCTATACCCTGTCTAAGTACTCCAAGTTGCAGCGACACTGCGGTTTTTAGCAGAATCCTCCTCTTAACGGTCTGTGGGACTCAAATATCTTCTTAGCCCGACCTAAAGTCTTGGTGGTTACAATAGAAATGCTAAAGGCATTTGAACGTCTGAATTGCCCACGTTGGATATAGGTAGGACAATCAAAAGCGGAGTACCGCACTCCAGGCATTACTGGTTATAAAACCCATTGCTCATGACTTAAATTTTTTCAAAGAAGTTAGCACACGATTATGTCAAAGGATTCAGTGCTCGGTTTAATTCTGATATATAAACCGATTTATAGGTTTCTGCTACAACTAAAAGTCGACACAACTTTTTTCTCGGAAATAAAACCGATATGCCAATCAATAACCGGAATGTGTAACCCCTCGAACAGAATTTCGTCGGTGTCAATGCTGATTCCGTCAGCAATCTGTTTCTGTAATACCCCTGATTAGCTTCTTCTTTCTTGATTTTCTCTGAGTTGTATAATTTTACCATCACCTCCAGTTCTTAAAAGGTTCACATGCACGACACGGTCTATAGTTCTGACGCCTGCTCCTTCTCTCTTTTCAAATTTCGAAAACGAGTAAAAAAATTAAATTAAAAAAGAACTTTTGATGTAGCCACTCCTATAGAAGAAAACAAATATTATAGGTCATTGAAGTGAAGGTATTGTCTTCAGTTTCTAATTTGCATATTACCGGATTGAATGGTCCAACTTGTCAAGTTGACTATAAAAACTGAATCAAATGAACTCTACTGGTGAGGTCGACTTGTTGAAAAAAGTTCCAATTTTATAATGAAGAAACTTTTAATCTCACTTTTTTTTGCAATTTTTTTTGCAATTTTTTTTTGCAACTTTTTCTCGCCATAAATATGCATATATATTTACAAGTACTGCAAATATAATAATATTTTTCAATTTCAATTTCCATTTCATACTTTCCAACTCTCCTCGCTCAACTAAACACACCAAAATACACCAACTAAACATTCAACATCCGTTCACGCGGAAATGCTACCAAACGATGATAATGGCAACGGAAACGCCAAACTAAATATCCGCCAACCCAACTTTTCACAACGCCCCCAACTGTGCTGGGCGGAAATTGAAATGCACAAAATTGGAAAATACAATACCACAAACCGACGCCGCCACCAACTGTGGTGCCACGCAACGCAATTACATCGCACATACATACGCGCTAAAAATTTATGTTTGCACAAAGATCCGCCTATCTTCGGACAAACTGAGTTTTGATCTAGTGCCCGATTTGGGTAGCAATCTCACCCACTCAACAGTGATCAAAGTCAACAAAGCCACATCGTGGCATTCCGTTGAGCTGGACTACAAAGTAGGCGAAATCACTTTCACTGTGGACTATCATCTAAGGCAGAGCCAAATGTTCGGTTTGACTTTCAATATTGGTGATAAACTAATTATTGGCAGTAGTCTCAAGTCTGCCGCCTCGGGGCTGGTCGGCTGTATACGAGACATAGAAATCAATGGTCATCTCATCGAGCCGCGGCATGTAGTGAAGACGGAACGCGTTGTGGGCGAGGTAGCATTGGATAATTGTAATTATATTGATCCATGCAAGCGACCGAATACATGCGAACACGGCGGCAAGTGTTTCGTGAAGGACGATCGTGTCACATGCGATTGCAAACATACCGGCTATATCGGTAAAAACTGCCATTTTACTAAATATCGCAAGACCTGTGAGGAGCTAGCATTGTTGGGCTACACCAAATCTGATGTGTATCTGATCGATATTGATGGTAACGGTATCTTCCCGCCGGCACATGTCAAGTGTGACTTCCAGAGTTTGGAGAATGCCACAAAAACAATTGTCGAGCACAATTTACCGAGTCAAGTTGATGTGCGTTCGGCAAGCGAAAATGATTTTAGCTACAACATCCGCTATCGCGAATTTTCACCAGATATGTTGCAAGAATTGATCTCGCATTCTTTATACTGTACACAATATATCAAATATGACTGTTATAAGGCGCCGTTGGAGCTACACTCGGCCACTTGGTTCACTTCGTCGGCGAAGAATTTAACTGTGGATTTCCTTGGCAATGCAAAACGGTAAGTCCAAATGAAATTGAATAATTTTTAATCTAGAGTGCAAAGAATTAAGTTATTAAGATCTCTGTAGGCACTAGAGAACACATTAGAGAGACCTTCTATGGTTAGAATGTAAGAACGATTTAATATTTTGGGTTTAACAGGTGGTAACCACTAAATCACTGAAGAAGCAATGCTCTACTCAGACACCAAACACCTCTGAGACTTTACTTTTCTGCTGCAAAGACATTCGCGACACTGTCGTAGCCTCCGTAGCAAAATCGCTCAATATAAAGGGTGATTTTTTAAGCGCTATGGAAAAGTTTTTCAAAAAACACCATCAATTCAGAAAAATGCATGAAATCTTTATTTGAATCGATAGTGCGGGCCATATAATTTAGTGTTAGAAGATTATTTCATGCAAATGTTGACCGTGACTGCGCCTCAAACGGTCCATCCGCTTAGTCAAATTTAGGCATATTCCAACATTTCGGTATCTCATGAATAAATGCTTCAATGTTGGCCTCCAATGCGTCAATTGAATCGGGCTTATCTGTATAGACATATGATTTAACATAGCTCCACAAAAAGTAGTCCAAAGGCGTTAAATCGCACGGTCTATGCTGCCTATTGACCAGTCCCGAACGTGAAATCGAATGTTCACTGAACTCGCCTCTCAATAAGTCCATTATTACGCGTTCTGTGTGGCATGTGGAACCGTTTTGTTGAAACCACATGTCATGCAAGTCAAGTTCTTGCATTTTAGGCAAGAAAAAGTTTGATATCATCTCACGTTCGCACTCACCATTCACAATTACGATTCGCATCATCTTTGAAGTAGTACGGTCCAATGATGCCACCAGCCCATAAACCGCACCAAGCTGTGACTTTTTCTGGATGCATTGGTAGCTTTGCAATGCTTCTGCCTGATCTTCATTCCAAAATCGACAAGTTCTCCGTTGATTGACCTTTTCACCTACTTACCGGTAGCTAGATCAACTTTCTTGTTGTTGTTGTTGTAGCGGTTCGCTAACCCCGTTTAAGTACAGGTTTGATTACTCTAAGTCGCCGAGGTCATCTACTGGGAGGTCCAGGAAACGAGCTGTTTCAACGGGATTAGACCAAAGGGAGAGGGGAGTTAGATGAGTCGGTTTATGGGGACATGTGAAGAGGTGGTTAGTGTTGCGCGGAGACTATTCACATGCAGGGCATACGTCGGGTATGCTGGTATCGAGTCTGGATAAGTAGGAGTTTAACATGCTACAGTATTCAGACCTGAGTTGTGCTGAACCTTCTTGTGCTTAAATCTGATATCACAACGTAGCGAGGCTAATAGTAGGTCTTGTTGGTGACGTTCTTCTTGTCTTTCATCGCGAATTACGCTTAGACGTCCCTCAACTGGAATGACGAATAATAATTGAAAGAGGGCTCTCTTCTCCCCTACCGCAAATCAACATCGAATTTGTGCAACAATTCTTAATTTTCTTCCGCTATTGTCCTGCGCATCGTACTAACTGGGTCACAGCATTTCACCAATGGTGTGCAATGGGCTGTAGTTCTCCTTCTGGGAATCCATTTATAGTTTCAAGATTATACCCAATTCATTTTCTTCCGTCTTAATAGCACACCATGAAAACGTAAGCGACTCTTATGCAAGATGTGTTAAAAAAACCAATTAGAGCCTTAGGTCACGAAAAAAAGTTAGGAAACCTTCGTGGAGCCACATACGACATATTCGGTTTGCAGCATCTGTATACCAAAGATGTCTTGTGTCGCTGTCCTAAATATGTCCTAAAATTATACCTATTGTGTGGCGAGGCTGTGCGCTGGGCTTGTAGCCCGCCACGTAGAACCAGTTCCAATTAAAAGGAAAATCATAGCCTCGGATGAGCCGCTATAAGCGATGCTATCAAAAATAGTACCTTTTCAATTAAGGAAAAGGACATTGCAGTTGCATCAGAATTTTTAGTTTATCATCCAAGAAACTTGCTTTCTTTGTAGCCTATGTAAACACGTACTCATATAATGAAGAACAACTCATGAAAGCAATTGGCCAACCAAATTTACACTTTCATTGTACTGAAGACCATTTAAACAGTCCTTATTGACAATGCTGAAGTTTGCTGTCACAACATTTCAAATTCAACAGAAATCGTAATTCGATGTTGACTTGACATTTGCAGGAAAACAAACAAACCTTAGTCATGCAAGCAGGCAACGGACACAAACAACAGACGACCCTAAGACACTCAAGTACAGACACTTGATTATTAATATAGACTGCTTGCGCTCCAATTTGCTATTTGAGGCTTGTCACACATACTGAAATGTTCTGTACTGAGCTGTACACATCCGTTCGCTCTGTGAATGCGCTGAAGCGTCTGTCCAAACGAACGATTGGCCTTCTCGGGTACCATAACTCAGAGATGTTATGTTGCATTTGCTCAATTCTTTATTATTTCCGTTTTATTTATTTTTACATGTGGATTTACACACGTATTTGTAACAGCAATAATGTCAACTAACTGTTGTTATGTAAGAAAACGACATTTGTTAGGCATTTTAGAATTGGGGAAGGTCATTAGTAGGTCAACAGGACAAATCTTTCGACTGATCTTCAAAGCAGACAAATAGAAAACAACTAATAAATGAAAACAATTTTATGAGAAACGGAAGGTTTCAAGACCGCAGCAAGCTCTTGTAGGAGCCAGAGGGGTGAGCTAGTGACGGATGCTCAGAGTATACTGAATCTATGAAGGGAACACTTCTCTAGCCTACTGAATGGCAGTGAAATTGAATTACCTGGAGAAGGTGAACCCGAAACCCCAATTGATGACGATGGCTATAAAGAAGTTCAAACAACAATCGCCCGCTTGAAAAACAACAAAGTGGCGCGGTCGAATGGATTACCGGCCGAGGTATTTAAATACAGCGGTGAAGAACTGTTCAGGTACATGCATCAGCTTCTTTGCAAAATATGGTCGGATGAAAGCATGACCGACGGTTGGAACCTAAGTGTGCTCTGCTCAATCCACAGAAAAGGCGATCCCACAGTCTGCGTCAACTGCCGTGGAATAAGCCTTTTGAACAACACATATAAGGTCCATCAAGCGTATTGTGTGAAAGACTGAAGCTCAGCGTCAACAAACTGATTGGATCTTATCAGTGTGGCTTGAGTCCAGGTAATTCAACCATTGATCAGATATTCACCATGCGCCAAATCTTGGAAAAGACCCGTGAAAAGAGGATCGACACACATCACCTCTTTGTCGATTTGAAAGATGCTGACGACAGCACGAAAAGGAGCTGCCTCTACGCCGCTATGTCTGCATTTGGTTTCCCCGCAAAACTTTTGCTCTCCGAGCCGTTCGATACTAAGCAGGATTTCAGACAAGATGACTCTTGATCGTGTGACTATGATGAAATGGACATTATTTGCCTCGACAAATGTGCCGTGAGTTCTGCTTTCTCCAGAATTGATAAGAAAGCGAAGCGAATAGGTCTGGTGGTGAACGGTTTCAAGACGAAATACCTCCTCGGCTCTCACGTTACTGTTGGCAGTCATAACTTCGAGGTCGTCGATAATTTCGTCTATCTAGGAACCAGTGTTAACACCAACAACATTAAAGCAGCTGAGTAAAGAAATCCAACAGTGGTTCTGCTCTCCTCTATGTTCAAGAAAACGGCGATATAGTGTTTCTTATTATCTAACAACTATTCCATGAACTAAACGAGCTCTTGTGGGGCGGTTCCGTTGGCATGCTTTTTGATAACTGTATCCATGCCAATGGAACGTATAAAACGCAAATTTAGATATGTTTCAAAAATCGTTTTAATCCGGACTCTGAAGAAACAATCCCATCCCAACCCAGGCAATTTGTTCGTCCTGCCAAGAGGGATTAACTTGAAGTGAGTTGCACAATTCCATGGTTTCGGAGAATTATGTTGACTTTGGCAAGCCCTACGATGTTCGGCCTTCTATAGATATATATATTTAATTGGCGCTTTGTAACCATCGGCCGAGTTCCTCCTCCAATGATGTTTTTCCAACAAATGAAGAGACCTACAGTTTATGCTGAGCCGACCCCGATAGCCTGATGGTTTTATGAGGACCTTTTTATATGTGAGAAGTACACTCTCTGCCGAGGAGCTACTGCAATTAGAAAATTAAACTTAATGTTTTATTTAAATTAATTTGCTATTAATAATTTTTTTGGAAGTGAGTCGTACCAGGAATTGAACCTGGGCCTTCCGAATAGCAGTGCGAAATATTAACCATGAGCGTGAAATGAGTATCTAATAACAGTTCAATGGTTTCGTTACCTGATGTTGTCAGAGAATTATCCTGACTCGGAAGAAACCATATGAGATTGGTCCACCTAGAGAGGGTATGTCTTCGACTAGACATTTCTGCAGAAGTCCCTCAGTGTGTTTCGTCTGTATATAGGTTCCAATGATTTCCATCAACCATTCTTTTTGGCTTTTTGAGCAGCACTTGAGAGAACAGCGAAAGTTCATAATTAATAGTTTTCCGTATGTTTATATGTATATACTCGTACATACTTGTATCTAAACCCATTTCATTTTCTTTGTATTTTGTATTTTTATTGCATTCACCATTTGGCCTGCAGTGGTGCGTGTCCTTGTTCCATTAATAAAACATGTGTGGACCCAAATCAATCATGCAACTGTGATGTGAAAGAAAACAAATGGTTTTCCGACGAAGGCTACTACAATGAACCGCACAGTCTAGGAATAACGAATATGTTTTTCCTGCAGCAAAAGGATTTGGAGGAAGACTCACAGGGTCGAATTACGCTTGGACCATTGGAATGTGTGGAGACAAGTAAGTTTCTTTATTTAATAAATTCAAATCATAATTTTCAACAAAAAAAAAAGTCATAAAATTTAAATTATCCTTACACTCTCTGTTGTTGTTTGTTTATTTAAGAACATCAAATACAATTACTTTATTCACGTACATTTTTTCTTGATTTCTCTTCGTTTCACTCGAAATAGACACGCAAAAGTATGTCGTCACCTTCACCACATCTCAATCGTACATCGAGGTGCCCGGCTGGCGAAAGGGCGATATTGCCTTTTCCTTCCGCACCACCGGCGAAAAGGCAATTTTACTCTTCCAACCGCCCATACGACCGAATCATCCATCGTTTATGGTGGCACTCACCGGCGACTATCAGTTGACATTCAATTTCACCCTCAGCACCGGAACTACCAGAGAGTTGGTCATCAACTCGCATCGCAAGCTGAATGGCGGTGAATGGCACAAAATTTGGATTGACTACAATGAGTATCATGTGCGCTTTATGATAAATACAGACTATCAAATGGTTGATCTCCTGCCAGAAGAAGAATTCGGTCCATTCGAAGGCAGCATGTATATTGGAGGTGCCACCGCGTAAGTAGAAATTCCCTGCATATAAACATAATTATTATTATTTTTTTTTTTTATTATGTGAGTTTGGAAAAATCTGGTGAGATGTATTCGTCGGGCATAAAGTTTGTGAAGCCACGGCTCCAGCACATTCTCATATACGAGCATATGTGGGTCTTGTGAAGCTGCGCGTATTGCTTTCCTCTGGCGAGAGTACAAACATATTGCACGTATGTATATTTATGCGCCGACACAAATGACCCATGGCAACGGAGACGTTGAGTATATTATGCCAATTTGGATTTATCGATTTAATTGGAGTTTTAATGTATGCCATTAAGTGCGAGCCCATTCAGTCAAAACTGATTTACGGACGAGTGGCTTGAGCATTCGAGTGCAAGTAAATCTGTACAAGCAGTTGTGCTAAATACCTACGTACATACGTATAAGCTTAACCGTATATACAGATATTCGTATATGTATTCATATGTTTCTATGTATGTAATATCTGTATTGCTGCATATATAATGTACCTGTTGGCGTAACTCTCCGCCTCTCCTCTGCAAGAGTACATAAGGCATTCAGCGCTTTTCACGTTGCGCTCAAGTGTCGGAGGGAAATGTGCAAATCAATCACCTTAACGGCTTCTTAATTAACAGTGAACACTTTTACAATCATTTTACAATTAATCAGCTCGACTTTTCGCTGCCTTCATTTTTATTAATAGCACTCATTTACTATGGCTGCGGCAGTTTTTCGCGATACACATTGCAACAAATATTTATACTTATGTACACGTACAAGTGTGCGTGTGTATGTGTACTGCCACTCAAGCGTAATCCCCTTCAAACTTAAGCTGTGCGCACGGCGCGCTGAAATTTACTTATATTTTTGTGCAGACCCTGTAGTAAAAATGGGTCAACAATAGCGCGCCACTGATTGTTCTTTTCGCCGTTTGGCGCCAGTTAGAGACACCAAGTGGAGCCACGACCTTGTGCACTTGATCTTTCCAATTACGTGGGGATCTTCCTCTTCCGTCATCGAATGCTTTCAATCTATGTTTCTTGCAGGTTTATCTTCCTCAAAACCAGATTGAACAGATTATTATCATCCTCCAGACCTCGGCACTATATAGCACGGCAGATGAGAAACTTGTAGAGCGTAAACTCTCTTTGTTGAGGATGGACTTTACTTTTGAACTCAGCTTAAGGCTGGTATTGATGTTGTGATGTTTTTTCAATAACAAGAGTTATTTTCTTTCGCCCTCCTTCTCTATAAGATCCAAATGTTTCGACTTGTTATCCAATCTGGAAGCTGTTAAATGCAAATAGGTGTCTGAGGAAAGTTGCGGGTGTGACAGTCCTTGGCCAGGTATTCACAGAAACTATTGGATTTGAGTTAGTTGATGCTGGGTCCTATCCTTTCACACAATACGACAAATGGAACATGATATTCCATATTTGAAAGAGATAATCAAAGAGCGCAACATGTCAGCTCTTCACCGTCGTGTTTGAATAGCTCGGCTGGCACACGTCACTTGGTTATTCTTCAAATGATTAATCGCTATTCGATATTCTTCGCTTCCTTGTGTTCTATTTATCTCTTAAACTGGCGGAAGGAGTGTTCCCTCTATGAACATCGGTCACGAGATCACCTCTCTTTTTTTACATGAGTATGCTTCTGCCAAAAAATCTCTGAAAGTCGCGATATCTACTATCAAGCCTCTGTATGTTTCCCCTACTGTTCGCTTTGTGGTCGCTCGCAACGTTTCAAGAAAGGCACTCTTTTTCACTACTCCCGAGCGTGGCATTCCTCATTCTCTCAGTTCTTCTTTCGATATTGTCATAAGACAATTACTTTTTTGGCATCAACTCGCAAAAAGTTTTAAATCTCTTTCAATGGAAAATTATTCAAGAAAACAGTATTCCAAACCGTGTAGAAAATGGGCCGATTGTCTCTTGTGATTGCAGCTTCTCAACGTCCAAACGTTCCAAATATTTGCTGACACGCGGTCTTCGCTGAGCCGATTGCGTATCTTAGCTGCTAAAAAGAAATAGAAAATGTTAAGACCGCAGCAAGTACGCACATCTAGAACACCGGAGACATGTCTTTAGTCTATCATAATGTCAAATTGTTGAAAAACTTTGTCTTGATGCGCACGTACATACATCGAAGTGAGTGGCAGGATGCGGTAACTGGATCTCTCCCCACCATAAACAACCAACACTAAATTTGTGCTCTGCTATACGGTCACTATAATATATGTCCCGAATAACTATCTTTATCTGTGCTCGTCCGTCCATCGCACCCCCTAAAAGGCGGTGATGTCAATTTTCGTTTCACGAGTACATCGACCACTTGAGCAGTGACAAATTCACAATTAAGGACCGGACATTACAAATGCATGCCCTCAATTGTATCATCTACCGCGAACGTAATCACTCGAGGTTATGTTTGAGTTTTCATGGGCTAAATTTTTACTCGACGGGTCTGAAAACCAGCTCACAATCCCTCCTTTTGACGGGCTACTTATTGATCAGTGGCTAAGACAAGTATATTGGGAAGAAACCGTAGCTCTTATTTACAACAAAGTTCAATGTTACAAGTAATGTTGAAACTCTGGAGGGGTAACTGCATTCTTAATTAATTCTTTTGTTCTTTTTTCTCTTTTCATATGCGACATAGTTGTATGTAAAATTTTAAGTATAATTTCAAGTTCAAAAATTCCTACAGGGCATATAAATTTTCCTCTTTGCTCTTTTTTGCATGTCCTTATTTAATTCACAAGCTCTACTTAACCTCTTATGGGCTTTGATTCTGACAACGTGTAAATAAGTGAGCCAATCAAGCAATCAATGTGTAGAGTAATAAAATTCATTGGCTTATATTAAACTTAAACGGAAAGCACTAGTAGAAATTTCCAAGTATTTTTAGCCTTGCTGTGAAGAGCACTGAAAAACACTACGAGAGAGAGAGTGTAAATTGCAGTGACGCCATAAAGTTCACTCAAGTATATTGCGGTGGTTGCGCAAAATTTTAGTTCGCCAAATGTTTAAATTAAATTTATCGAAAATTTTCAACTTCCTAGGCGCAGCAGATAAGCCAATTTATGTTCTTTTACTTGGTAATCAGTTCATTGGGTATTGCCTTTCATAACGTTTTTCAAAACACTGCGAACCCTTATCTTGATCAAAAAAAAAAATGAGCACTTCAGAGTTTCCTTTGCGAGAGCACAGTGAAGTTTGGGTCTGGTGAGGTTAAGCTGACTGACCCAGTCAGTTTCACATAAACGAAATGCATCCATAGTATTATCAGGCACACTACATGCGAACAAGCTGTGCTGCTACACTGCTTCTGTGCGTCTGGTGAGAAGAACATTGATGTTCTCTTCGCGAACTTGAGTAGTCGTTTCGGCCCTTTGACCATTGCTGATTAAAGGTCCTGTAGCCCTTCTGCGCCAACTCTGCATTTACTTTGTCTACTAAAAGCCTAACATTTACAGATGACGTGTGCACCACTGTCAACGTGCATTCCTTGCATTTTCTACATTTGTTGACCGCAGTCAAACCTATCTTAGATGCATGAGACCCCAGTAGGCATTTCACCTTTAATAGTCATCTTAGCAGCCTGGAGTCCGGTCTCTTAGTCTTCACGATTCTGTAGCCATTAACTCGTTCCTAGAGTACATTCGCCTGACGAAGTAGTATTACTTCTTGCTTCTGCTTCACTTCCTTGAACGAAACTGGAAGGTTCGATGCTGCGTGCTGTTCTAAATGGCCACCCTCTTTAGGAAGTTCTCATTATCTTCAATGCCCGTGTGGCCTTGCACCCAGTAAATGGACACTCTTCTGTTTCCAGACAGAACTTGAATGACTTCTTTACATAATCCGGCCCAGGTGACTTTTTTCAGTATGAAATTAATGCTTTTACGGAAGCTTGACTACCTACATAGATGTGTATTCTTTTCCTTTAACAGCCGGCTTATTGCCGTAACTCAGTCGCCACTTTTAAAGCAAAAATTTCGTCTTGGAAGATATTGCATTGGCTTGGTAGCATATACGATTTCTTTATTTACGTGAAGAGCTTTATTTGCATATTTCCGACCTTTGCTGCAGCCATTTGCCTCTATTGTTGCTGAAAGCAGCTTAATGAAATTCAGGCGCGGGATTACGTACTCTATTCGTACGCGCAGGGGTATTCAGCTGCCGGGAGGCATATAGCCTTGCAGCAGATAAGAATGCTCTGTTTTTTAGCTACCAGGTTTGCTTGAAGAATGCTCCAAATCGCATATAGCGCTGAGTCCCCCAGTAATGCTGATCATTGAAAGGTCTGAATACTCTATCCAATCTTTCCAAATATGGTGTTTAGTCCAGAGCTTTCCACCATCTTAGAGCTCCGTAGAAAAGTATTGGCTTAACAACAGCAAAGAAGATCCAGTGGAAAATAGCGGCGGGGAGACCCCAAGAACCTTTTACATGTATATAGCGCCGCTGATGCCTTTCCCACTCGTTCTAAAGCAAGATAATAATGCTAAAGTTGAGCTTAATAAATAGGGAGGGGCTATTAACACTAGATTACCGAAGGAAGTCATTTTAATCAAATGACATTAATTATTGGATTGAGTTAATTTCTTATATGACCGGATCGAATCCGAATTTTATGTATTTTTTGATTACCGTCACTCGTACGTGACTTGTTATTCGAATCTTTATGTCAAGCCTGCCCACGCATCTCGTTCCCCTTGAACGCGGATTATGTTGCTTTTATATTCCCGACACTGACCTAAGCATTAGCATCAATACCATATAGGGTTACAAGTGACCGTTTAAATAATCATTTTGATCCAAAGAGAGTCTCAAAAACGCTGCCGACATTTCGACTTTCCCTCTCTCTCTCTCTCTCTCTCTCTCTCTCTCTCTCTCAACACAAAAAAATACGCTAAGGAACATAAGTAGGATATGGAATCAGAGGCAACAAAATGGAATCTATCATCTGAAGATGAATCGGACTATATTCAAAGTGAG